ACTCTTACAGTCCTACAGCAGGGAACCAACACCAGGAGCTTGCCCATTTTAAACACCTGGTGCTGGACGCTGCTGGCTGGCTTGGACTTCTCTTCTGACTTAGGGTGCTCGTTCTTCTCTTCTTGCATCAGTGAAACCCAGATGTAGCAGAGATGTGCTGGGCAAAGTGAAAATGAAGCTGTTTGCAGGAACTGCACTATGCTTACTACTTCATCTGTAGAAAATTTGCTTCCCTTTAAACTATCTTCATACCTGACATTTATTTCTCTTCTTTTGCCTGTTCTCCCTCCCTTCCTCTCTCTCTATCCCCTCTGATCTCCAGGTCTTCTCTCTTTATCCCTCCATGTGTTCTTTCTGGCAATATTTCCCGGTGGTTTCTGTCAACTGGGTCCCAATTCCCAATCTTGAAGGCTTAAAATAATCATTAGAGCAACAGTTCACATTGAGATGGCACTTCACATCTGAAGGCCATCATGAAACGAAAGGGAGCTGGGGAAAGTCCCACTGCTTCGGGTGGGAGCGTGCTCTCAAGCACCTTCTGACCATGCTTTGCTTTAGTTCTGGTTCATGTACTGTCTTGGAAACCAAAGGAAAACATTCTTTAAAGAAGCCTGAAAGCAAAACCTGAGGTTCAGCATTATTTTACTGGCTTATCTGTGAGGTGTCACAGAAGGTCACATCCGATCTGCTGGTGTGTTTGGTGTCTCCATCCAGAATATGCAGCTTCTCCAGCAGCCCTCCACCCAGCACCCTAGCACTGTGACTCTGAGCGGGCACTAGCATGGAGCCACCCAGGTCTCCTGGGCAGGAAAACGTGTCTCTGCACAGCAGTGAATAGGATGGGAGGAGGAAGGGACAAGGGATGGATCCTACCCAGGAGACACAGGGATGCTGCAAGGCTATGGTGGTGGGACACCCTTGGGAAGCAGATGGCTTTGGAGCACAGAGTGGAGAGGGCTCAGCTGCGAGGCCAGACCTGGGGTGCTGTTGATTAATTAGTGATGAGCCCCTGCTTTGCTCAGCTTTACTGGCAGATGCACCCGCTGGGCACAGCTGCCTGTTTCCTCCTGAGGCTGGCTCTCCAGGAGAGATTAGCAAGTCACCTACATTTTTATCTGGGTTTGGAAAACTTCCATGAGGCTTGAGGGAATTTAATAGCTTTGTATTCCTTTGGAATTTAGCTGAAATTTCACACAGTTCAGAATTTTGGGGAGCAGCAGGCACAGACACAGAGTTCCGTAAACTTGTTTTTTCCTCAGAGCATCAGCCTAAAAGCATGTCAAGAACAGCCAGGTCAGGTAGCTAAAAGCAACAAAATGTTCTCATGGATGTCCAGAGTCACAGACACTTTCATCAGGGGTCAAGCATATCAGTGCAGGGGATGTATGTAGCAGCTGGCCATGCCAACATCCTTCTAATTTTAGGTGCTTGGGTTGATCTGTACTGAACCCTTCTTGGCCACGGCACCTTGTTCCGAAGAGCTGCAAAGACCCTTGATATGATTCTAGATGTAATAAATACTTCACACTCCTCTGATACTTTCTGCCCGAGGATCTTGACAGGCTTTGCAAGAAGTAATTAGTGCTGCTCACAGCTCCCACTCATGCAGGTAGAGATATTTTTGCTTTGGATGTGGGGAAAATGAGGTGGAATAAACAGGAGTGTTATGCTTGGGTCATGGAGGGAGTGAATCATCCAGTGCGCAGGGGAGCACAGGACTGTGACAATTTGGCTGTGGAAAGCCAGCTCATCTGAATTTCTGTGCTTTCAACAGTGTTTTTAGTAATAGAGGAAGAGACAGCTCTTAAATAGGATTTAAAAAAAAAAAAAAACAGCCTTGGCACTTCAAGGGCCTGCCAATTATTTTACAAAGTTATGATTAAAAAGGGAAAAAAAAAATCCATCATTCAAAAGAATCCTGTAAACCAAACTAAGCAAGGCAAAGAGGGAAGAGAAAAGTACCTCAGTTAGCAGAGGGCAGGGTAGCAGATGGGGACGGGGATCTTCTTTCTTTTGAAATGCCACCATTTGCCTTATAACCACTGCTATTGCTTTCTTCTTTTTTGTTTGTCACAATTTAGCTGCGATGGAAACCTTTTGAGATCCCAAAAGCCCCTCAGAATAAACTGGACTTTGTGAGCGTAAGTTGGGGGACCAGGGCATCCAAGCATCCTCCATCCCTGCTCCCCCCTTGGGGGTTAGCAGGGCACACGAGATGCTCAACATTGAGCAAACAGCAGTGGTTTTGTCACTGCTGTGCTTGCAGAGTGCTGTGGGAGGGGAGAGGATCCCAGATTTCAACCAGTGGATTTAATTTTCTTCATTGTCTTTCAAGGAACATTTAAAAAGTCCCAAAGCCCAGTTGTCCCCAGTCCTTTGGCTGGACAACACCAGCTTACATGGCTTTTTAAGAAACTCTTCATCTATTAAAGAAACTGTTGGGCAAAAGGCCATAGATGGAAAGGCTGGTGGTAGCAGTCCGGGGGGAGGGGGCGAGCCCCAAGTAAGCGGGTGAGTGGGAAGGGGAGGAAGGGGGCTGAGCCCTGCCTGGTTGCCTGCAGCTCACCCCCGCTGCCCGGGGTCTGCCCGCAGGGACTGCACACCCTGTGCGGCGCCGGGGAGCCCAGGGGACGCAACGGCATCGCCGTCCACGTTTTCCTCTGCAACACCTCCATGCTCGACAGGTCAGTGACGGCTCGGGCAGCTCCGGGCCGCCGGAGCTGCTCCTCGGGGCCCAGCAGGCAGGCAGCCTC